CCCTAGACAGGGCAAAAATTATTTGGGCCCATCACTGTGTCAGTGAGTGCACTTACAAAGGAGTAGGAGAAGTTTTGGGGCATCACACTCTAAAGGAAAGGAAGAACATAAAGGACTGATGGAGAGAGTTTTATGTGCAAAATCTTGTTGGAGAAGGAAGAACACACAAGCCAAGATTTTTTTTTTTGTCTAATTAAAATCTTAACATGTTAACTAATACACAACACGCAGTTAATTAGTTGTTGTACAGTGACAATACACAAATATTCACACTCCAAATTATCTAATTAATATAAAATAAGCTCTGCCTAGCTCATTCACTGGGTGAATGGTTTATCACCCTGAAATGTTTAGTACCATTCTGTGCCTGTACTTCACTGGACTGCTCTGGAGGCCACTGCTGTCCTCCTGCATCATTACAGCAGGGCTATAAATATGTCAGAATACACAGAGTCTCAGCTTGTTGCTGCTATCCGTGTAAAAATCACTATGCCATATGGCTGCAACATATGATTCTGCCATGTGATTTTGCTCAGCTCTAGAATTAAGGGAAAATTAAGTTCAGCTAAACAGGCTGATGGTGGGATAGCCCTTAAAGCATAATACTCTCAAAGACCTCTCAATCATCCAGCTCTGCTAAAAGGCAGTGACCTCCAGACAGGAGTTTTCCCAAGCACTTTTCCATTCCCCTTTCCATTTCTGTTCAAGAAAGCAGAAGGTGTGCTGTGCTAGGCAACTTCTTGCCTCAAAATCTCTGAGTTGAACAAATAGTTGTGACCACCTCAGTATGAAACCCATCCCTGGCTGACTAATGATCACAACAACCATAGAGTTTAATCTCCCTTTTAATTATTGTTAGCTTGTAACAAGCTCAGGGAAGGCCCTTTTGATTTGTAGTATGTGTGTTTCAAATGCTGATATTACCACAGGGATTGGGGTGCCTTAAGGCAAAATGAAGTTATGCAGGCATAGACCTGCCACATCTGTCACAGGCTGAAACAATTAGGAACTTGGGCATTACATATTTTTATCTGAAAACTGGATGGAAATTAATCTATCTCATGGGCGCCTTCTGTAGGAAAGAAAAAGCTTGTTGAGTCTTATGGAGTTCGTGAGGTCAGTAGCAAGAACTATGTAACCAAAAAATCGATATCAGCATTATAAATTAGCACCTTCAGCTAATGAAATAATTATTCAATCAGAACTAAGCAAGTGTATGCAAATATAGGATTTCAGATGACCAGCACATTCTCTAATCAGTTTGGACAGTTGAACAAGGCCCTTCTGTCTTTAAAAACAGGAACCAGGATGACTATTTGCAAAATAAAAGTTCAGCACAATTAACAATTAAAAAAAAAAGTTTACAAATTAATTCTATTAAATCTAACGATTTTATTATAATATTTGATGTTTCTCAGAAGATTATCTTCGTCTTGTGAATGCCTCAAATCCTTGTCATTTGTTACAAGAAGAAAGACCCTCTGACATTTCTGCTAGGAAACATGAATTTGGCACACCCCAAATTCAAATAAAAATCTATGAACCCCAAATTCAAATAAAGATGTCAGCATCTTTTTTTTAACAGCTTTTGATTATTAATGGAAGGTATTGATCTTAAATGCTCAACTCAAGAACTCTGAAGGCTTTGGGATGAGCCACATGGTTAAGACTGTTCTCCCTCCAACACAGAAGCAGAGTTCAAAACCCTAGAAGAGAAACTAAAAACTAGAAACTTCTATAAATTCTGGCAAAAGAAATTATTTTGTTTCTAGTAGTTCCATATATTTTTTGAGCCTGCCCTCTTTTTTGTCTTATGAATATGAAATACAAGGAAAAAGAAATATCTAAGGTTTAATGCTCTAGCTCTCTGTCAATAAACATCCAATTGCAATAAAACACACCTGTCATGCTTCCCTGCAAAAAGCAGAGCTTGGATATAAAATGACTGATTTTCTATGTCTTGTTTCTTTTCTGTCTCTGTAAGATAGGAACATGGAAGCATCAAAATGTGTAAGAACATTTCAGTGTGCTTTGTAACCTGCAATTTATTTGCATGAATTCAATTAGAGTCTCATTCATCAAACACAGTGAAGCTCTTGAGAGGTGACAGATCAAACTCTGGCAATCACAAACGTGCTGAGCTTTGCCCAAATTATTGCAAAGGTTTCTTGCACCTCCAGTTTCTTTCAGGAGTCTTTGACTTCCAATCCAAGTGTCAGCCAACCAGCTCTCAGTGCAGAGATTAAGTAATGCACAAATTAAGGGTTTGGGGCTGATTCTAATCCTTCTGAAATAAATGGCAGCACTCCCCATGGCTCCAGAGGGAGTAAGGTCCTCTGCTTTACTTCACCGGCTGATTTCAATCCTCCCAGGATGGTGCAGAGAGAACTGCCAGAGAATTCATAACATCACAGAGCCCTTGTCTTACTGCAAGGCCTTTTATCATCACACGTTCAGCCTCAGCCCTAGTCATAAATTACATGGTTTGTAATTGATGCATTAGTAGTGGGAACAGCTGGATGGGAAGTTTTTAACTCATCAGAGGAGGCAGCTTCAGGCTGGAGAGTTTTGTGCTCAGGATGAAGAGTTGGTTCATTTATCTCAGTCAGCTCAGTCAAAAAATCTCCCTCATGGCCTGTAACAATAATTAGGAACAAGGAATAAAAATCTGTAAAGCCCTAGCAGCTAGACTAAGGGGCAAATATGGAAGGTGTGCATTTACTGATGCAAACTCCAAATAATAATAAACAGAGAGCAGAACACCCAGGAGATGTAACTCCATGTTCCCTGACTTGGGAATGCAGGCACCATAAGGATCATGAGCAAAGAGCTGAGTGTTTTCTTTCCGTAACAACACCAAAATTTCTGCTCTACAGAGTGGTCCCTCATCATAACTTGGGCAAAGTGACTCATGACAGCCCTTGGAGGCAGTTTTATCTGTCACAGTCGCTGGGAGCCTCCATGGAGTTCCATGCCATGACAGACACCTCACTCTCACCTGATCCATTCCCTGCCATATCCCTGAGCTCTTCTCAAGAGTAATTTCTCACATGGAAATGAGACTTCTGGGAATTCTTTGGCTCTGTAGCTGGGATAGAGTGTATGAGTCAGCCAGGAGCAGTCCAGACATTTTCCCTCTGGTTCAGAACTGAGTCTGAAGTTCAGTTTCTGTGAGTATTTCAGACACACTGAATTCCTCCTTCTTTTTCACAATTGGATTGTGGGTGGCTCTCTGGTCTGCTTTACTTTGTTTGCCTGAACCAACCTTCCTTAGAAAGGAGATTCTGCAAGAAACTGCAAGTAGGGTCTGTAATGTCATGTTAATCAACTTATCACAAACTTTTCAATAAAGGAATGAGGAGAGAAGAGGTCTTTAAATAATCCTTTTATATTCCTTTTTTTTTTTCCCTTCTTCTTCTGGGCAGGGGGATCAAACCGAAACACATTAGAAAATTTATCCAAAGGTAATTTTTTGAGTAGCAGACCCCAGCTTCTTAGTTAATGTAGAAGTGTATAGAATGTCGTAAACATGTTTAGACCTCACAAATTTTGTGGTCATTATGTTATTCATAGATAAATAGTAGATCTGAATTTAGAACAATTAATCACATTCACTTAGTGTCTTCTGTATGTGGTCTAAATATATGTACACTTATATTTATGTACGCATATACATGTACCCATATATTTATGCATGTACACATATATATGTGTACACATATACATGTACACATATATTTATGGCACATAGATAAATAGTAAATCTGAATTTATAACAATTAATCACATTCACTTGGTGTCTTCTATAAATGGTCTAAATATTTGCACACATACATCAATATATGTGTACATGTACACATATATTTACATGTACACATATATTTATGTACACATATATTTATGATGTACACATATATTTATGTACACATATATATGTGTACATATATATTTATGTATGTACATGTATATATGTGTACATATGCATACATGTACACATCTATTTATGTGTACATGTATATTTATGTACACATATATTTATGGCACAAAGAATTACATATTTAAGCAGAATACTTTAAAATCAGACCTACCCAAAAGAAACTCCCAACCAAACAACAAATTACTTTGGGACTAGAAGAACCTCTATGGTTGTTCTTAAAATCCTCTTACCTGTATAGTTTTATAGATAGTACCATGTTTAGCCATGATGCAAAATATATTCTGTAAATTTTAAGCAGCAAATAAATATTTTTTTAAGCAGCAAATAGATGTTGTGTGCACTTGTAATTTTTTGGGTTTTTTTTTCATAGCATAAAGAATGGAGTAGCATGGACGAAAAGCCAGTCTCTTGTTTCTCTCGTTTGCTGTGGATTCTTCTGGGTTTATCTTGCATTTTATGACCTAAATCAGGAACAATCCTGCCATTCCTCACTGAGCTGCACGTGCCTTAAAATCAATAGAAGACTCAGGCTCGCTTTGTATATTTTTCTTCTGAAAACCCTATGGACACAGCAGTGTCTTTTTTCAATGAGAGTGGAACCTCCAGCATCCTGCAGGTTCCCAGCCCAGAAAATCAGGAGGAAATTCTTTCGTGTGTTTTGTCTTTTCCCCAAGCAGACAAACGTTGGTGAAATGCCTTCTCCATCCCTTGTGTTATAATGTTCTGGCTTCCTTTCTGCAGCAATATGAACTTCATACTCATGTGAAATAATTCTATAAATGCCCATACCTACTGTACACATCTCAAAGAATAGTCATAGAATTTTTTCTTCTCCCATTTATCCTTCTGGTTTCCCTTCCCTCATTCTCGCATCCCACTTCCTTTCCTCTTTATTTTCTCTGTTCCTTTAAAATATTTTCTTTCCAAGTGAAACCAAACAAAATTATCAGCCCACAATGGTCTTCTGCATTTGTGTTCTGTCCTTTGTTAAGGGGAATTGGAGCAGGGGGTGGGCTTGGGCTTCTATCCAGGAAAAAGGGGGAAGAGAGGCACTGAGGATCGTTGCCAAGGACTGAAGCCGTCCCCAACCTTTTATTTAAGAGAATCTCTCGAATTTCTTTCTACCTCTCATGGGGTAAGCACTTTTAAGTATCAATTACTTATTATTTACTGTTATTATTTACCTAGGGAGTGTGTGTATGGCATCTGGCACAGTTTGGAAATGTCAGCGTTCCTGTAAGTTTCATTCACAGGAATTGCCTAGGTAGCCTCTCCATAATCATATTCTTTAAGATTTGAAGGTTTGTTGGAAACCAGCTAGGGAACCATATGGTATCTGCACATTTCAGTGCTTGTTTGGGGTACTCAGAAGGGGAATTTATTTCACTTTTTTTTTTTTTTTTGTGCTTTCCTCTTTTTGTGGAGGACTTTCTGGACCAGAAAAATAGCAAAGGCAGAGCTGGTAGAAGATGCAGCACGACAAGGGACTCTGAGCCAGGAAGGGGAAGTTGGCTGAACTGCTTTTCTTTCTTTCTCTCTCTCTCTTTTTTTTTTTTTTTTTTTTTTTTTTTTTTTTTTTTTTCCCCTTTTAAGCAGGGTTAACGTGAACTCCTAAGCAATTGTGGAGTGAGGCCCCACCTCTCCTAGCCTGATCTGCAGGCTCGGGTTTCTCTCTCCTGCCTGGTTCTCAGGAGCCCTCAGAGAGATTCTCGCCTGCTGCTGCTCCTGCCTTCAGCCCCAACCTGCCAAAATAACTCCCTCTGTAGAATCCAAACCTTAATTCAGGAAGATTCGCTGGCAAGCACCAGGTCAAGGATGGAGTAGCACCACTCGAGAAGAGATTCAGCAACCAGACCTGCTGCGAGCAGTAGCTGAGCAATATCACCCTCTCCATTTGTGATTTTTTTTCAAAATCGGGAAAATCCGTGTGTTCCCTGGAGGAGCCGTCAGGGGCAGGACTCTGGCAGGGATGGCTCTGACTTCACCTGCTTCTGCAAATGAGTCACGGAGCGTTATAAAAAGCGAGGAGCTGCCAAGTCTCATTTCTTGGAACTGAGTGGAAACTTCAGCAAGCAGCTGCTCTTTCCTTAGTTTATACTTTCCCCCTGCAGGTTCCTTGGAGAGGGCCTGGAATCACAGAAACTTTGTAGCAGAAAGGACCTGTTGCTCCATTTTGATAGCCGCGGCTCGGTGGAATTAGCTGTTTGGTCCAGATATGATTCTAATCTTCCTAAGGGATCTCGGTGAAGCCTGGAAGGAGCCTCGGGAACGCAATTGAGCAGGTGTGTAATTCTTTCTGGATTGGCGATTGAATCCTATCATAAATCAGGAACAGAACCTCAAAAATCAGGAACAGAACCTCAAAAATCAGATTAGCTCTCCTATACACTACATGAATAGAGGTTCTTTTCATATGTCTGATGCTGTCAAAAGATTTTTATGCTTTCTAGCTTTTCTCTGGAGTCACATAAGGCAAAAACTTATTTGACAGAGAAATCAGTGAAAACAGATTCTCGCGGAACAGCCGGGTTTGAGGAGGGGAAGTGGCTCACTATAGCAATCCCGGCTGTGCTAACAGTGTAGCCGAGAGGACTTTGGCTACCTGCGGGCGATCCGATAGGGACCATTCCCCTGCTCTGAGCGCCAGAGCCACGTGTAAATTGTCAGAGCGGGGCGGAACGCCGTGCCAGATGGAAACAACATAAACAGCTGAGCGATTTCATCCGGCGTTTCGAGCGAAGACCGGGGCGGGGGGGGAGACTTTTGTTCTCGTAGACCGCTCGTTCCAAAGGTGCTTTGGCTACACCTACTCTTTCGGGGAAGGATGTTGCTTTGGAGCTGCGGTACGTTTTGTGTGTGGCCTTGTATTTACATTTTTTTTTTTTTTTACGGTGACTTTTAACTCCCATGTTTCAGCCCGGCTCCGGGGCGCTGCTCTGAGCACTTTTGCATGGCGAGAGGCGCGCAGGGAGCGGGAGGAGGAGGAGGCGGCTCCGTGCGGCCGCTCCGCCGCTGCGGGAGCTCCGCGCTGCGCTCCGCGGGCCCGCCCCGGCCTCGGAGCTGGGGCTGGGGTTGGAGCTGGGGCCGGGGCGGGGCGGGTGCCCGGCAGAGGGAGCTCGGCTCCGCTCGGCTCCGCTGCCCGCCCCGCTCCCGCACTTTGTTGGCAGCGCGGAGCTCCCGCTCCCGCCCGCAGCCCCGCGGCCGCCGCCGCCCCCGGCCCGGCAGGAGCACTCGGGGCACGGTAAGGAAGGGGCTGGCAGGGAGGGCTGGGGTTTCCCCATGGTGTCGAGCCCACCTTTGGGTTGTTCCGCGACCCCAAAGAAGCCGGCGGGGCAGGGCGGATTGCGGGGCGCTGCCCCGGCCTGTCCCCGCTGCCCTGCGCTCGGACAGGGCGCTGAGAAGTCCCCCCGGGGATGGTGGTCGGTGCTGCAGCTTTTCCCCAGCCTGGCTGTGCACCCTCGAAGCCCTCGGTGTGTGTGTGTATGTGTGTGTGTGTGTGTATATGTGTGTAGGTGTGCGTGTTCTCTCCTGCTGCCGCTGCGGTGCCGCCACACCTGCCCGCACCGGGCTGGGCATCCCCGCCGGGGGCACCAGCCGTGCCCTCCTCCTCCTCCTCCTGCCTCACCTTCTACCTGGTGACTCCCCTCTCAGTCCTCACTGGGGTATTTTCCCCCCCCTCTCAGTCCTTACTGGTGTATTTTCCCCGCGCTGCTTCATTCAGCTGGTTTTTCCGTCTCGGTAGCGGGCGCGGAGCAGCTTTGGGTGGGATAATCCCGCTGAATGCCCTCGTTCGTTCGGTGCTGTCCCTCGTGTCCTCCCCGCTGTTCAGCCCTCTCGTTCTCTCCCGTAACTTTCCCTGTTGTCTTTGCTCCTTCTGCCCCTCTCATGGCCGTGACACGCACTCATTGCCAGCGTGCCAGTGACCTGGGCACACCTTGGAAACAGGTTAGGGGCATTTTGAGGAATAATTTAAGGTGCTCCTGACCCCCACCGTGACCTCAGTAGGGCTGCATTGTATCCAGGAAAAGCGAGATGTTGTTGCAGCTCCCACTGAAGCATAATTTCAAGCTTGCTAGCAGCAGGCAGTAGAAGAAAGGGTGGAACAGGTTTTTCTTAGGGATGTCGTTTGAGAAGCAATCCTCCCACTCAGAAATTGTGCTTTGCCTTGGCTGGTGAATCTTGTACCCTCCAGAGTGGTACTTGTACCCTCCAGAGTGTGACCTTTGGTGGAGTCTGCTTTGTTTACTTGAGGTGAAGTGCTGAAGGTAAAAGTATTGCTCCTCTGCATTGTGTCTGCTGAAACATTAACCAAGTGATGGATCTCGCATGCCTTCCCAGCATAGATCATATTTTAATTACTCCTCTCCTTCATCATCAAAAAAAGTGTCCTCCTCCCTTCCTACTGACTGCCTTCCTTCTCGTTTGTGATTGTGCAATGTCTATATGTCAGCTACAAAAGTTGCTTGCATGGGAGAACATGAAAATGACCATTTTTTGTTGTTAGCAACTGGAAATACTTAATCAGCACTGTGTGGCTGGTCTCCTTTCCCTGGAATACCCATGGAAACGCTGCAGCCCCTGCCCTGTGAGGAGGAGAAACCTCTCCAGGGCCAGGCTTGCAGTGAGCTGGTGATTCCCTCTCAGGGAGTTTTGGGGTCTCTAGCTGGTCAGAGTGACTCTGAGATAAGTTAGAAAGTCTCTTTGCTCAGTTTGATGGTCGAAGAAGGAGTCAGAACTCTTCATTTCTCCGTCTCAAGGTTGTTTATTGTTTCTTATCTATAAAATTCTTTCTCCTGTCTTGCTTCGGTCTGCTCAGCAAGACAGTCAGAAGCATTCTCCCTGTCCCCAGGGCAGTGTTATCTTTTTATACTAAAAACTACATTTACAATATTTACAATTACTTTCTAATACTTATCATCTATGTTAGACAGTGAGCTTCTACTCTAAACTAATCTAAAAATGCCAACATCACAGCAGAAGATGGAGGCCAAGAAGAAGAAAGAGAAAGGCTGGACACATTCTTCTATCTTGCCTCTTGAACCCCCATTCTAAAAACTCTAAAAAATTTATTTTTCAGCTCGTGATAAATCCACTATTATTCTACTTTAACTTTCGTGGCTTTTAATTCTTCATACAGGGTCGGTAATTGTTTTTTTTCCAAGGGCTGAATCAAAGGCACAGGGGTCTTGGGCTCTGTGCTAAGGTCTCTGAGGAATTTCCTGGGTTCTGACAAGGGAGAGGGCGGTGGGAACTGCAGAGAGCCAGCACAGTTTCCAAGGTGTAAGGGAGACGCCCCATATCTGCTCCTGATTCACAGTTCGCAGGGAGTGAGGCATTATTAGCTCTCAGGTAAGGAGATACTGTGCTCAAGGCTCCACACGAGCGCCCTGTGGCTGTCCCTGCTTTTTCTGGGCAGCCAAAGGAAATGGAAATGGCTCTGGATTTGAGTTTTGGCTTTTGGATTTGAGTTGTCCAGCTGGCTTTGTGCTGTCACACACTCATGGAGGCTGTGGTGTTGAGTTATGCCTTCTCCCAGCTCTGAGTGCTGCTTTCTGAGTGATTCTGTGATTTTGAAAGCAGACAAAAGCGTCCCATTAGATTTATTTGGAGGGAGGTAACACCCCAGGAGCAGCAACACCCAGCAGTGATTAGGTGCTAGTTATATACAGCAGTAATGGAGAGGGCAAGATTAATCTGAAGTTACTTCTGCTGTGAAATGCACAGATGGAAAAAGCACTGAAGTTTTCCACTTGGTGACAACTGAATTCTTGAAATAGAGTTGATTTTTTTTCTGTCCATAGTCCAGCTGTAGATGGTGAATCAGTCACATTAACTACTGCATTTTTTCCCCTGTGGGTGACAGCTTATTAAAATCTAACATCTGAAGTCAAATAATTGAAGCCCCAAGGGTCAAAATAGATTAAATATATAAGAATTCTTCAGTTACTCTGGGGAGATAAGAGAAAACTAGAAGTCCACATGACAAAGATTGCACCAATAAAGCACTTGCTAACTTTGGTTTCAGTGTCTACCACTTGTTGCTCTTACATTCCTGGTTACAGCTCCTGCATCTCTTCTAATACAGTGAATGACTGCTCAATGCAAAATATTTTTTCAAAGACAGATTTTGACTGCCAGACAGAAAAAGGAAACCTTTGTGACCCCTCCAGACTCATCTCTCTGCTCTGGGGCTGGTGGCAAGAAAGAAAAGACGTCTAACACCTTGGAGTTGTTGCTTATAGTGCAGCCTGATCCTTGTATCTCCATTCCAAGTATATTTTTTAATATGAAAATTCAGTATATAAGAGGCTCATTTCTTGTATTCAGTGCTAGTTCTCTACTTTTTCCATTACCAAATGCTACAGACCAGAAGAAACTAGAATTCCTGCTTTTGGGGAGGGGCTGTAACTGGTGCCATTTTATCTTCACTCCAGAGTTGGACTCTGATTCATCTGCCAGTTTATTCATCCAAAACAATGACATTCTGTCTCGTACACCTTTATTTTCTGATTTAACCTAGGATTTTCAGTTTCCTGCCCCGAATTCCAAGTTAGATGATGAACTTTTGTTTTGCCATGAACTTCAGCTGCCTGTCCAGTCTTGAGTGACCATTTCTCCCTGCCGTGCCCTAGAGGAATTTAGGCATAAAGTCATTGAAAGTTTCACTAAAGTCAGTGACGCTGGTTTGGGTGTGTGTAGAAAACATTTGCAAAGCTGTTTATAAAATAGTGCTCTGAAGGGGATTGTTAAGACAAGGTGTCTTTTACAGCTATTGATTCTGGGAGAGTCACAGCCTGCTTGGAAAGGACCATGATGGTGTGGGAAGAAACAACTCCACATCTGTTTTGTGAGGAAGGACTCTTTTCTTCTTTCTTTTTTTTTTTTTTTATTCCCCTCCTAATTTTGTGTCATTGACGCTGGGGGATGAGAAATGAATCACAAATGGAAATGTTGTTAGCATTAGCTTTTTAAGATCTGTTTCATTTTGAGCTGTGGCCGTGAGCCTGCAGTCACTAACACATGGCTTTGATTGTAACGTCAGTTTTAGTAACATTTTAAAATTTCAGCAACCCAGGGCCTTGAATTGCTACTAGTTGAACGCTTCCAGTCCTTTATTCCCTTCCACTGTCTCGGTAATTAAAGTTAGGCATGCTGTGAATCTCCACAGGGTTAAGATCTGACATGGAAATAGCAAATTACAAATTACTTTCTTTGCATTTATTACCTTTGTCTCTTGATGAATAGACTCCAGCAACCTTGAACAAAGTTAGCAGATGTCTCT